AGCCTGTAATACAGCTCTCACAGTAACTGTGTCCACAGGGAATGGTCACTGGATCCTTCAGGAGATCCGGACACAATGGACACATGAACTCAACCTGAAAAATTCTGGCTCCTGCCATTTTACTGCATGAATACAGAGACATAAACACACAACAGCTCAACTACACTTTCAGTTTCTGAACTGATCTGTTTCCTGTTTCCTGGTTCTGTGTTTGAGTGACATGTTAAATCAGAGTGTGTGAAGCTCCTGTAGAGTTTAGTTTCGACACACCTGAATCTTATTAAAGTAAACAGTGATAGTGATAGTGGTGTATAAGTCAAGTATGATAACCCATATTCATAATTTGTCCTCTTAATTTAACCCATCCAAGTACACACAGACAGCAGTGAGTAGTGAACACACACACACAAGTCAAGTCACCTTTATTTATACAATACCGATTGTGACAAAGCAGCTTTAAAGTGTCAACAGGAAAATAGTTTGTCAATAATGCAAAAGGGCAATAACTAAGAGTCATTTTTCCAGATAAAGTCAGTTCATTGATGATTCAGTGATGTCATCATCCAGTTCAGCTCTCTTACAATAGTGTCTGCGCAATCAGTCAAGCATCCCCAACTAAAGCTCTATTGTTTATAATACATTATGTATTTTAACAGTTTTGTTCAATAAAACCATATGATTTCTTGCTTTTGATACTTTATTTGAACTAATTATTATTGCTTCATTGCTATTATATATGTATTTTAAGTAATTTTAAAGGCTATTGTTCACTTGCATCTATTTTTATTGCCACAAAAAAATTTATTATAATTATAGGGCCCTATGAAATCCGTTTTATTTCCAAATTCCGTTTTTTTTCCATTTTAATTTTTATATACTCTGTTTTAATGGTTAAATTAAATTTTATTACAATAAAATATTCTTAAGTAAAATCGTTGATTTTTTTGTGGGAAATTAATCGTTTAGATTAATCGATTAATCTATAAATTAGTCGATAGATTAATCTAAATAAAAATAGTCATTAGTGGCAGCCCTAAATATTTTAGATCAAAACTTTAAGTGACATTTAAAAAAAAAAATGCTTGATTGACTTTCAAAATGTCCAAGATTTTCAAATTTCATGCCATTTGTAATTTCACAGTATTTTCACCTCCTCAATTACACGTGTGAAGTCACAATTCTATAATGGTACAATTTACTCAAGCCATGAGTAAATAAATGACATTTAAAATTCTTTTTAGAATAATTGTACATAAATAGGTTAAGTCAAACAATTGTGATTATTTCTGAGAACTTCTTAACTGCAGGCAGACTTTATGGTAGGCCTACAGTACAAATATTTGGAACGTCCCTTATTCTGTCCCTTATTTTCTACAAGAATAAACACTATTTTCTTAAAGAATAACATAAAGAATCACAATTGTCACTTATTTTCCATTTCTTATGTTAATTGGCAATGATGACGTAATTATCTTTTGACTCCCCTGACAGCGGAACCTTGCTCAAAAAAATAAAAAGTCATTGTTGGAGATATTCTAGCAAAAAATAATAGATAAAAAATGTATGATAGAAAGCGCAAAGGCGGCACTGAAAAGGCCAGTTAAAAACAAAACAAACAAAAAAGGCATGAAACTCCAGGGGCCCGTTCTTTGTACGGCGCTTATTACATCCGAGATTAAATATCACATCCAAGATGATATGATCGCGCTAATCAGGATCTGGCTAATTCGGTTCTTCGAACGCAGCTGTTGTTGATGATTAGTATGGCTGGATTGAGTTATCTGAGATAATTGCGCGTTCATGGGTTGGTTTAGAAGGGGCTATGTATCGATACTCGAAACCACGATCAGCAGTGCATCGATTGGCTGGCGGCAAGACAGCAACGTAATGACATCATTTCCAGACTTTTACAAGGAAACAGCCAAGCGAACAAAACTACATACATGTTATAATAGATAAATGAAATGTGCACTGTTTTTATTTTATTTTAATTTTTTACATGATTCCCAATTATTTATATTCACGATTTCTAATATTTGTACAGGCTTTACATTTTTATTTCAATGTAGTAATTAGCAATTCATTTAATTTTATATTTGAACAATCAATCTTTATTACAGACTCAAGGTCCAAATTAAAACAAAAACAAAAACAAGACAATAGGACAACATATACAACCCACAGCATCTACCACCACAATAAAAAGTTACAAAATACAACAATACCAATGTCTCCACAGCTTTGACTGATAGTGTAGTACTAACCCTTATATTTGATAGACCCACAATAATCTCATTTTTTGAAGCATTTAGCCGGCAGATAAATCTATACATAACATTTCGTAACAGTGCTTTAAAAGTGATTACTCTTGCACTCACAAACATTTCACTTGCACTATGCCATCTAGGTCTCTTTAGTAAAATTCTCATTGCATCATTATAAGCTACTTGCAGCTTCTGTAAACTAGATGTTCTATAGTTGAACCACAGATGAGCAGTATAAAGTGTTGTACAATATGCTTTAAAAAGTGACACCTTCACCTCATCTGAACAGAAACTAAACTTACGTAAAAGTATATTCGCCTGCATATACATCATACGGCGTTGCCTTTCAATATCCTCATCGTCTGTCATGCGTTCAGTGATGAAATGTCCAAGGTATTTTACTTTAGCACACACAGTGAGACTCCTATTAGACAACTTGAAAACTGGAAATTTTATACTTTTATCCTCCTTAGTTCTGCAAATCATAACCACACTCTTATCAGGATTATATAAAATATCATGTTCAAGACCATAATCAGAACACATAGTTAAAAGCTGTTGAAGACCAGCACTGCTAGGACTAAACACCACAAGATCATCTGCATACATAATATGATTCACTAGAATATTCCCAATCATACACCCAGTTTTACAAGCATTCAAACATTCAGATAGATCATCCATGTAAAGATTAAACAGAATTGGGGACAAAATCCCTCCTTGTCTCACGCCATTACTAACCCCAAAAGGGGCAGAGACTTTATTGCCCCATTTTACTCGCATCATCTGGTGGGCATACCAATAAGCCAGGATTCTCACAAATGTATTCTGGCACCCCTCTTTGTCTCATTTTAAAAAATAACTTCGCATGGTTAACCCGATCAAAAGCTTTAGATGCATCAATGAAGCACAAAGACTGATGAGTTTTTATCTCTATACTTGTTTACTATTCCCTTTAATGCATAGATGCAAAGATCAGTACCATGTTTAGCCTTAAATCCAAACTGATTGTCTGTAGAATTAATAAACACATTTAACCTATCCAGCAAGATTTTTTCCAACACTTTAGACAGGATACTAGCTAAAGCTATAGGTCTATAATTATCT